ATCCAAAAAAAAAAAAAATACCGAACCCAAATCACTTGAAGTCTCATCAAAACAATTTTCAGCCCGATCGGACTTGAAATGGCGGAGAAAAAGGGGGAAAACTGGTTTTTGATACCCAAAAAACTAGTTTCGAGAAAGATGCAAAATAAAAGAAACTTGTAGAAGAATTTTTTTTCCCGCTTATACGTAAGTATAGGTATACCATATCATAATATAACTTTATGTTAAAAAAAAAAAATTTTTTTTAATGCATAGGTCTCCAAAAAAACTGGTTTTTCAGAGACTTCCCGACCTTTGATGGTTCTGATTTTTATAGCATACATAGAGGGGACCTTGATACACCTTTACACGAAAAAAAGAAAAAATCGAAAAAAAAAGTTTTTGGCTCAGGAAAGGGGGTCCCCTTAAGTGATCGAAAACTGACGATATGACAAGTCCATGACCGATACTCTAAGCATCTTTGGAATGGGAAATAATCATTATAAGTACTAAATAACAAAGAAGATCGCTCATTTATATGATATTAGACATCGGACAGTTCGAACCTGTATTAACAATGAAAAATCGAAAAGTTTTTCAATTTTCATTCTCCGAAAAGGTGGCCGATTTCTTTAATTTCAAAAAACAGAACAAACCTCTCCATTCTAAATTTGGATCTGTTGCAAATGTATAATAAATAGGTCCAATAATTTCATTCATTCCTTGTACATAACTTTGTCCTGAATTAAGTTTTGAAAAAATAAATAAAATTCTTTCAACAACTTCCCAATGTGCCTCATGTCCATCGGGTAATAATTGATATTCATTAATATCATATGTTGTTGATGAATGATTTGTTTTATTTTGATATATTAATTCTAATCTACCAGTTAAACGTGATTCAATTTGAGATTCAACTTTAAGTGATGTTGATTCAATACGTTTACGTAAACTTTCAAAACCAGCTTCTTGATTTAATATTTCAGAACATGGATATTCAGTTTCACGTTGAAAAAAAGATAAATCTGGACAAAGTCGTCTATTTTAATATTAAATAGAATATTTCGTAAATAAATTTAATAAAATAAACTTACCGAACATCTTTATCAATTTGTAATAAAACTTCATTTTCTTTAAAATAAGCAGCCCATGAACTATCCGGTGCAGAATTTAATGGCTAAAAGAATATAAATTATTAATAGAAAAAAAATTCAAATTAAGAACTAACATGATCGAATACATTAGATTCTGATGTTGTTGTTGTTGTAAGACCTGGTTTTATAATTGTTTCTCGAATATAACCACGATATAATTCACTATCAAAAGAAATTTTTATTACAAAAAATATTTTTTTTATTCATTTTCTTTATTTTTGCTTCTACCGTTGTTTATTCAAATGTGTTGACCATTTAGTTTGATCGAGTACGAGATAATTGAGTAAAATCTAATTTTATCCAAAAAAACAAAACTAATATTAAATAAATTATTCAATTCGTTTTTACCTTCCAAGTTAAACTACGAATACCATTTTCAGCTGGACAACCTAATAGAATAAAACAAAATATAGAACATAAGTAAAAAAATTATTTTAATAAGTATTTTTACCATTAAATGCAAGAATTTTGAGTTTTTTTAAATCAATCATATCACATTTGAGTACTGCTTCGAATTGTTCAATTCTTAAGAAAACAATACAATCATTAAAATTTTCGAATTTTATATAAGAATTAATTCATACGTTTTTTGATAGAGTGCCATGCTTGAGATTCTTTTTTCCTTGATCTGAAAAATAAGGTTTTTCCAAAAAATAAATGAAAAAAATAATATTATTTGATTAGTTGAAAACAAAATCAATCAGATAATGAGAACAGATGTCGTACGAATTAAATTTATTTTTTTTCCTCTGAATTAAACAAAAATTATGATTAGAAAAAAAAACAACTTTATTTTTCTTTATTTAAATTAAGAAAAAAAAAGCCGATGAAAATAGCCATTGGTCATTCCATCGGTCATCTATTGTCCATTTTTTCGGAACAAAAGTAATCAATTCAAAAAGGTAAGAGAGAAATCTCACCTGTTTATTACATTCAACTATGACTCTAATATCTCATTTTTTCGGTAAAATTATTTATTTAAACAAATTATTTTTATTTTGAGTTGGTTTTTTTTTATTAGTATGTATATCAATATCGTTAATAAATGCTGAAACAATGCCAAGATTTGATATGCGAGATAAAGATGGAATTATGTTTGATCCAATAGCACCACGTGCTGGTGAAAGATTGGTTGCAACATGTACATTAGTTGGTTTAACATCTAGTGATAAACGTCATGTAGGTTAAATATTTACTTGTAGTTCGTATTGACAAAGACAATAAGTTATATGAATCAAAAATTACTAATTAATTTTGTATAATTTTATCAAGCGGACAGGGTTCAGTTCATCACCTAGAGTCCATCACGTCGAAATTGTCCCAAAGATACGCTATACTTTCTTTCGATGACTCGCAGGCTCTACATTTCTCAAGGTGGTTAGAGTCCATCCAGTGTAAAATTTTCTGGCTCAACCCCTGGTTATGATACTATTGTTAGAATCAATCATTTTCATGTGTTAGCATCTCATTTACTTTATATAACAATGTTAGAGTTGTCACGATATGATAGTGTGAAATAAAATAAAATCAAGGGAAATTCATTTGTTATAAGTAATGATAGGTGAATAACGAAAAAATTAATTAGCGACAATTGAAGATAAAAAATGAGTAGGATAATTAAAGTTATGTATGAAAAACAAGTCAAATTAAGATTAATAAACGATTAAAGTATAGAAAGTTGTATTATTTTGAAAACAAAAATTTATAATGATTATATCTATTCATTGTAAAAATAAATCTAATAAAATATTTTTCAAGATTTTAAATAAACTTACTTATATATTTGTACTAAAAATAACCAGAACATTAATATGTCAGAAAAAATATATATTTCTTTTATTTAATCTTTTAGAACGGAAGGAAGAATATATATACCATTCATTATTTTTTTTTTCTCTATTGTTGTTTTGTTTAATAACAATAAAAGAAGTTTTCATTAGAGATGGTTGATTCCGGATCGGAACCGAAATCGTCTATCCTAATTCTGATTGCCATGCTCAATATGACCATATTTCCGATCCCGATATGATTCTAAATAGAAGAAAAAAAAGCTTGAAATAGGAAACAAATGGCACTTTCTAGTATAATACACATTTAAGGATACATTCAATCAGGCTGATATTTTTGAAATAGCTGATTCTAGCTCAGGGCAATAGTTCCAAATATTTGTGCCAGTGACGTATCCAGGATTTTTCAGTATGCTGAATCTTGACTTTTGAGCATGGGACCCAAATGAAACTCATAGAGGATGATGTTGAGTCCAAATGATGGAATTTTATCAAAAAAAATTTGCACTCGGAGTTTGCGAAAAAAATTAGCATTTTCCTGATCCCCTCTCCTAGAATTTTTTACTGTTAGTATTATCTTGGATTTTAGAATTTCATAGGAAGCTATACCG